GATTTGAAATGATAAACTTGGTCCCATCCATGTCAACCTGTTATGTATGTTTACATGTAAATAACTTTAATTACATATATTTATTTACAATCATGGGTCATTCTGTTGTTAATGAATGTAAACAATTAAAAGAAAATACACAAACTTAATATGTTACACATGAAAAGTTATTCATATTGAGTAAATTATAAACATACGATCAATGTAGTGTCCGTAACTCAAATAATTACTGAGTGTATATAAGATACCATTTATGTAAGAAATACATTTTCTGCTGTGATTTATATTCCCATGAATAAAAGGTCAACTCTTAATGATTTTGATGGGCTACATGTATAAAGTCATTCATTTTAAGAGAGGTGCTGTTCTTACAATAATCCTGTTTTACTTATTTAGAAAGGGGGTATAATTTTGCAGAATGCTAAAGTTAAACTTTATTCCTGTGATTTTGTTTGGTTAGTATTTTGTTAATAAATTGCATTGGATTTATAATTATGCAAAAAGATTTGGGATAGTTCATTAAAGACATTCATTTCTAGAGGTTAATTTTACAAGTAGTGTCCGTAACCAGCACTTACCTTACCCCATACAAAATAGAAAATAAAACACTTCTCATTGTTTTTTCCACTAACTGAATGCGTTTTACAAATTTCAAGCATTACTTATTCAAGATCACAATTTCTTTTTATTGTGTTTACCTTTATTTTTGACCTCAAGTGCAACCTTACTGTTCCCTTTTTTGTATTTTACCCTCATGCTCTGGCGTAGTCCTCAATGAATTCAATAATTATTTTGAAGTGATGGTTCGAATTAATGAGTTGGGGTTCTCTGAACTTAGGACAATGAGATATCATCAGTACAGGCTGGACTTGACAAATCAATTGTCCACTAATCCTTGTGAAGGTCCTCCTTATTAGCACCATGATTTGTAAAATGTCTTATGTGACCGATGTATTCTTACATATGGATATATGATGCAAATAACATATTCGTTACCTGAAAACGAAATATTTCTACCATATACACTTTTGTTTTGTATTTCCTGTCTAACGCGTGTGTACCATGTGTACACAACATATTGTGGTCGAATATGGTAGACTGCATGTTGATAGGAAGTTGATTAGAAAATTATATCTCACATTTTCATTCAAATATTTATGATATCAGTGTGGCATCTATATTTAGGAAACCCTCAAAAATAGTTCCTTGTAATGAAGTATTGGATATATCTATAGAAGGAGAACGCAAACAATTTTTTTTTTCAATTGATGTCAATTTATTTTATTGCAAAAATATGTAAATATTACGAAAGGTGGATTATGCTTCTCGACAAACATATCAAAATCAAAGAGCAAGATGTATACAGAGATTACTCCTGCATTCAAACTTTAACTATATGCAAAGAACTTGAAGATAAAACAATCATATTTATATACATGTAGCCCATCAAAAGTAGTTGTAGCGGTATGATCATCATTTTTTTGCAGCGCATATTCCATTACTCATACATTTACTATGCACCCAGGCAGACCAGGTAAAGTCGATCTGAAATTAGTGCTGGATGTAAAATGTATTTTTTTTAGTTTAGAATCTATAACATAGTTACGATTAAGCACTACTATATGGTTAAGTAAAACTAATGAAGAAATGCTTTCATTCGTTTATTCTCAATGCCTTTCTTTAACGATTATCAAAATGTGAATATATAATACAAATCCCCTAACTGGGACTTTAAAAAATTATATCTAAAGATTTACGATTCTATTAAACTATTTCCTTTCTATTATACTCGGCAATTTAATGACGTATGGATTTAAAAAATGATCTCTTACATTTTCATTCAACATTTGACAATAACAGGGACGCATTTAGTTAATAAAAAAACATACATTTATATTTCCTAGTAACGCATTTAGATTGACAAGTGAGTCTGGAAGTCATGTTAATTTATTCTAAAAGGACAATAAGTTTTGCAAAATCACTAATTTTGCAAAAGTGTAACATTGTTTTCCGTCCACTCTGAAAACTCTTATCTTCCGCCTTACGCCAATTGTTCTAATACAATGTACCCACTTCACTTGTAAATACTATAGATGAAGAAATAAATGCTTTTTTTTCAACGTTTGTACAGGTTTCAGTTTTTTTTCCAATATTTATTAGCTTTGTACTGAGGTTGTCGATCGACGGTGTTGATAGATATGAATCAACAGTGTAAATGCACGAAAATCTCCATTTCGGAGCATTGAGTTTTGATATGCATTACTATTTGGAGTTGACATGACTGATATACAGATGGGAGGTTTTTTTCCGCTAAGAAAAGTGCATTCCAAAAGTTTTATTGAAAAAAGGAATGAAAAAGTAGCTCTCTAATTTTCATTTGAATTTTTCCAATAAAAGTGATGCATATATGTATTGGACCCCCCTAAAAACAATACAACATCGTTACTTGTAACGCAGTTCTGAGTAGATAGAGAACAGGAGAACGTATGTTATTTTCAATGCATCTACAATTCTTTAATTGCAAAATATGTAAATATTACAAAAAAGTATATAGAGCTGGTCAAAATATTCAACGTACAACAGCTTGATTTCTTTTAAATTGGACATTGGAGGAAGATAAAACATTCGTATTTCCAAGAAAATCAAAGAGATTACAACATATGCATCGAAATAGCCATCATTGTTTTGCATCGCATATTTCATCTGTCATATATTTTTTTAAGCACCCAGTTAGACCAGAGGAATAAGATAAGGAATCTGTGCCTGATTGAAAAAGGTTTCTTTTTAGTTAATAATCTATGACATCGTAACGATTAAACACTTCTATATAGATAAGTAGAACTATAAAAAAATTGCTTTCATTCGGGTATTCCAATTTACTTTAATAGACGGTTCTTGAAATGCGAATATGTAATGCACGTCATAAAACTGTAATCTAAAATAACTATGCATCTGAAGATTTACGATTTAACTGATAAAATGTCCTTTTTAATATCACCCTTTTAAATGACGTATGGATTTTAGAAGTGATCTCTGACATTTGCATTCAATTTTTGTCAATAGCAGGGACGCATTTATTTATTAAAAAAAAACACACTTTAATATTTCCTTGTAATCCAGTAATAGATAGATTGACAGAAGTAAAGCGCAATTAGGTTTGTGAATTTTGAATGTATGTTAGCTTATTTTAAAAGACAATTATTTCAGCAATATCAAACATTCAGCGAAAGTTTTACATTGTTTTTTCTCCACTCTGAGCCCTCGTATATTCGTCCTTCTTTGAAATAATATGACAGAAAACATGTTTTGTTCATCAACGTTTGTATAAGTTACGGTGTGTTCAAATATTTATAAGCTTTGTACTTTGGTGAGGTTATCGATTGATGGTGTTTATAAATATGCATCAACATTAGAAATACACAAAATCTCCGATTTCGAACACTGACTGTAAAAAACATTTCTATTTTGAATTTACATGACTGATATACAGATATGAGGTTTCGTGCAATAAAAGTATTGTGCATTCCATCAGTGTTATTGAGTAAAGAATTTAACAATCATCTCTCACGTTTTTTTTCAAACAGTGACGCATCTATATATTGGATACCCCTTCTCCTCCCACACATATGATATTTCATTGTAATGCGGTATTTGTTAGATTGACAAAGGAAAATTATAATTGTTTTTTTTTTTCAATTCATGTAAATTTATTTTATTGCAAATTATGTCAATTTTACAAAAGGTAGATAGTGCTGATCTTAATTATCAAAGAACTAAACTGAGATTTCTTTTTAATTCCAACTTTCATCTTTATGCAAAAAGACATTGGGGGTGCAAAAACATTCATATTTACAAAAAAATCAAAGTGATTAAATCCATATGCATCGATATAGTTATCATTGATTTGAATCGCCTATTTCATCTGTTAAACAATTTCTATACACCCAGTTAGACCAGGGGAATTAAATAAGGAATCTGTGCCTGATTGCAAAGGTTTATTTTTAGTTAATAATCTATGACATCGTAACGATTTCAAATTTCTATATAGATACAAAAAACTATAAAAAAAAGTCTTTCATTAGTAAAATATTACCTTTATTGGACGGTTTTTGAAATGCGAATATGTAATGCAAACCTAAAATAACTATGCATCTGAAGTTTTACACTTTTATTGTTGATGTTTCCGTTCTATTATAATCTGTATTTCAACGACATATGGATTAAAAAAAAAAGATCTCTGACATTCGCATTCAATGTGTGTCAATAGCAGGGACGCATTTATTTATTAAAAAAAAACCTACTTTGATATTTCCTTGTAATCCAGTAATAGATAGATTGACCGAAAAAGAGTACAATTAGGTTTGCTCTTAACAGAACATGTTCTAATACATTTTACCCACCTCGCTCATGTAAATAAAGAAATATATAGTTCTTCAACGTTTGTGAAAGTTTCGGTTTTTCAAATATGTATAAGCTTTTTACCTTTGGTGAGGTTATCGACGGACGGTGTTTATAAATATGCATCATCATTGGAAATGCACAAACATCTTCAATGTATATGAATTTTGAAAAAAACTCTGACATTATTCTTTAATTTTTGTCAGTAGCAGGGACACATTTTTTCACTAAAAAACCCAATTTTTGAAATATTCGTTTTACGTAATGAAAGATAGATTGACAGAAGAACGCAATTAGGTTATCGAGTTTTGAAATTATGTTAATTATGTTTAAAAGGCAATAGATTTTGCAATATCACAAATTCTGTGAAGTTTAACATTGTTTCCTTACTCCAAATATTCTAAAGCATTTTACCGACTTCACTTGTCAAATATACAACGTTTGTATAAGTTTCGGTTTATTCAAATATACATATTAGCTTTGTTCTTTTGATAAGGTTATCGATCGACAGAGTTGTATTAAATGCATGATATTGCTTGTTTATGAAAAGTTTTATTCGCTATTCATGAAATTTACAATAGATTCAATTTATGTTTCCAACATGAACCGTAACTCAAAAAACGAAGAAAAGGATAACGACCAAAATGTTCATGGATTGAGAAAAATAACTTACTGGGAAAAATACGGCGTGAAAAGTTTTCCTTACCGTGGGAGGCGCAGATACACACCACTTGTTTACCAATCTGAAGACGGAGGGATCATTATCTCAAATGATGTTTTTGGGCTGACAATCAGTCAGTTTGAACGAACGTATAAAGCTTGTTTAGACAGAAGGAAAACACGAAGACAGTGGATTATAAACTTAAGATATCCAGACAAAACCTCAAATGAATATATGGAATATTTACAACATAGTACAGGTTACAATAAAGGTATTTACATTTTTATATTAGTAACTTCGTATACAATCACACTTATGTACCAGATGTTTTTGACATGTTCAATGTTAAACAAATTTAGAAAGAGTCTTGAATGGAAAACAAAGATACCGAAAAGTGTAGTCAAAGATACACGGACAACACCATAAATATACTAATAAACACAAACAACGCACCACATCGTACTATTTAAAGAAGTGTCATATTTTTGTTTGCAAAAATATTGTCGAAATCTATTACAATTTATGCATAACCTTTAAATTAATGCAGATTTAACAGAGAAATGTTGGATTTAGTGGCGATGATAATTAAAAAAACAATTAAATAAAAAATCATATGTCAATTCTACATTGGTCATCAGACAAGAATTCAATAAAGAAACTTCAACTCAAAATCCTTTTGTTGTTTTTCAGGTGGAAAGATAATCACGCTAAAACGTATTACAAATTAGACAATATGTTTTGTTTTTTTGTTTGTTAGAAATGCTTTTTTTTTAGATATCAAACATTTGATATTTTCAAAGAATTTTGTCTTAATGCATCCAGAAATGTGTGTCAAAATGTTATACTCATTTCAATTCTATTTTAAAAAGTTACATGGAATTAAATTTTAACTCCAAAGAAGTCAATGGATGTGGTGCGTTTCTTATGATTTGAAGTATAAAATGAAAACTAAAAAAGTCAAACTACCTTGCAGGAAAATAATGACTGAGGAACATGAACCCAACCGAGGTTAAGATAATGTCTTCCGATATGTAGTAACATCTCATATATCCATATTCATATATCAGCCATTCCACAGTAGTACATGTTACAAACCGTCTGTCCCTGTCGTTAATATTTCCATAAATACAATACGCCAGTGCTTGTCATCACATTGGAACCTCACTAACCGGATTGTGCTCCTTACACAAACAGATCTAGAGTTATGAAGAAGAACGACAAAATCTTACACTTCATAAGTTTTTTGGTTACCATCACAAATTGATTTAGCGTAAAACCGTGTCTGTGTCTCAATTCTTTGGCAACATTTTAACGCTGTTTAGATATCAGTTAAGTCTTTTTGAGCTGTAATTAAACACTTTAACCGATTTGGAAATTTTGATTGGATTCAGATTTGCATGGTGGGAATATGAATGCATAGTTTGAGACACTACCCCTATCGGTGCATCTTGTCTCACTTCGTTTAGTCTGCATTCGATTCTCACTGTTTTTGTTTGTTACCTTGTTTTGTTTCTTTTTGGTCGATGTAGGAGTTTTTAACAGCGGTAAATTTCTGTAATTCAAAAAAGTGAGAAAACACTCTATACAGAAAAGTCATCACGATAAAAAAAAAAACGTAATTGCAAAAATACATATTTTATTTTGCAGATTACTTGTCCTGGACTGGGAATGATTTGAAGCAAAGAGATTTATACAAACACTTAGTGAATACAGTTGGTACTGAAATAGACATACGTAAAAGACAACAATTATTTATAATACACGATAAAATCTTTAATATCTCTAGATCCGACTTAACAGAAATATCGAGTGGAAGTTTAGCAGAAGGTCTTGATTTACCAGGTAGTGACATCGATTTAATGTACGTCATCAAACACGTAGACGTAGTACAGGATGTAAAGAATATCATACACCCAGTACAACGTACAACGCTGGTCATGGAGACTGATACTGATTATCCTGGATTTACTAGACTTCGATTAATAGCAGGAGGGGAAAGGGAAACAAGGTATATAACATCTGAGTCCTTTGAAAGTGATAACAACGGTTTATATTTATCAGTGAACAAATTTATTAGTCATATACATAAGCTAGTTCCACATCGCAAACTATCGTCACACGGCCCCTGTTTATCAGATAACGATCAATGCTTTGATTATGCGTTCTGTCTTCGAAGTAAACATTTACCTTACAACACAATACCATGGGCATCACGTCGTCGACAGCAATGGCCCCCTAATCCAACTATTGATAAGATTAGAAAATACGGATGTTTGTTTGTACCTATTGGACCAAGGACTATGCCAGGTTGTGATGTAAAATGGAGATTATCTTTCTCTGTGGCAGAAAAACAACTAGTACATTCGTTTAATTTCACTCAGCTATTATGTTACTGTCTTCTCAAATTAACCTTAAAGCGTATCGTTAACACAAACAAACATGCCGAAGGTTTATTGTGTTCTTACTTTCTAAAGACAGCTCTGTTTTGGGTCTCAGAGGAGTTGGATATTGACACATTTGAAGTAATTAACTTATTTGTTTGTTTTTCTCACTGCCTAAATAAACTAATATTATGGGTAAACAACTGTTACTGTCCAAACTATTTTATACCTGAGCAAAACATGTTCCTAGGAAAGATCAGTCCAGATAACCATAAAATACTAATACATGTATTGGAAAGTATAAAGTGTGATGGAATTGAGGGATTGATAAAACAATTATTTTCACAGGACAATGGAACATATCGTTTACTAAGAACATATAGAGAATCGTCGTTCATTATGGTAGACTTGCTCTTTTACAGGATACATGGATTTCATGTTATAGTAAACACATTACGCTGTTTGGAGACTCTGATATTTGCTGAATATTTACTTAAGTCAAAATCGTGTACATTCATTATCGAAGTATGTAAATGCTATCATGCTAGAATAAGTCAAAATGCCGCACAATTACTACCAACACCAACTATAACGACTGAGACATACAACATACACAAACGTTATCATAGACATTTAAAAGACGGTATCAAGGCAGATGCTATATCGGGTTGGTTGTTATACGCGTCGTTTTACTATGTAACAGGACAATTTAATGTTACACTAAAACTAACGGATTATGTTCTATCAAAATGTTTGTCTGATATGGTGTTAGTAGGCTGTGTAAACTACTGTGAAGGGCATAAACATAGTTACAGAAATCATGTACATTCTGCAATGACACTGAATGAAAGAATGCGAATAGCTACTATACACGGTGTTAATTACACTCAGCACTCATCATTAATACCAGGGGAGTTACAACTGGAGGTGAATGACCAAACAATGACGATTTCGCCTATTTTGATGTCTCACTGTCTTAGATTTTTATGTTTTCATCATCTTGGTGATATTTTCAACAGACAGCAGGCTTTACATGATTTATACTTAACAGTGATGAATGGGAACTTTGTTTCATTTGATAACTTATCTGTTTCAATAACTATACTTGGAGTATGCTATGAGTTATCCGGTGATAAGGATACAGCCTATCAATGTTTTAACCTAGCTTTGCATTGTGATGGCGGTATATGTCTTTCAGCAGAAGCGAGGATATCAAAACTTTTAGAGAATTAATATAATCTGTCAGTATCAAACGTATTTAGAATATGCTACATGTTTATACAAAATCAGCCAATTAAGACACATCATATCTGTGTAATCGTATTAGGCATGGTCGTTTTCTATTCCATCAAATACATTATCTGATTTGTTGACAATTGTTGGAGTATCTACTGAGATATCAGGCGATAAATAGATTATCTTATTCATTGACAATACTAGAAATATCTAACGAGCAATCAGTCGAGAACTACATTATCTTATCAATTGACACTACTGAGAGTATTGGATGAGTTATCAAGCGATAAAAAACATAATCTGATTCTTTGAAAATACTGGGAGTATGTAATGAGATATCAGGCAATACATACACTATCTGATTCATTGACAGTGTTGGGAGTATTTAATGAGATATCAGGCGATATATACATTATCAGATTCATTGACAATATTGAGAGTTTCTGATAAGATATCAAGCGATAAATACACTATCGGATTCATTGACAATAATGGGAATATCTAAAGAGCTATTATGCGATAAATTCATTATCTGATGCATTGACAATACTTGGAGTATCTAATGTGATATCAGACGATAAATACATTCTCTGATCATTGACAATGCTAAGAGTATTGAATGAGATATCAGGCGATAAAAACATTATCTGATCGTTGACAATGCTGGGAGTATCTAATGAGATATCAGGCAATAAATACATTATCTGGTTCTTTGAAAATACTGAGAGTATCTAACGAGATATCAGGCGATAAATACACTGTCTGATTTATTGACAATGCTGGAAATATCTGATGAGCAATCAGGCGCTAAATACATTACTAGATTGATATACAATACTGGGATTATCTAAGAAGATATCAGGCAATACATTCACTACCTGATTCAGTGACAATACTGGAAATATCTAATGAGCAATCAGGCGATTTATACATTATTTGATTAATATTCAATGCTGGGGGTATCTAATGTGATATTAGCCAATTCATTTACTATCTGATTGATCGACAATACTGGAAATATCTAGTGAGAAATCAGGTGATAAATACATTATTTGATTAATAGACAATGCTGGGAGTATCTTTTGAGATATCAGGCGATACAAACTCAATGTTATTACAGTGCATCGCAACGTAATTTTCTAGTATGTTCTACAGTAGAAGAATTAACAATTTGCTTTATAATTGATATGTGTGTTAATATTCTGTAGTATCATTACGATGTACGCAAGATGTTAGTAAAGGAACAAAGGCAAATTTGTTCTGGAACGATTCACATTTACTGATGATGTGACTTTGTCTATAGTTACGGTGTTACTGTATATGTTCATTTGTAGTTGAATATTATACATCCACAGAGGATGACTATGTTTCATTTATAAGACGTAGGCATCCTCACGAACATAATGAATATAGACTTAAAGAAACTATGCTATAGAGATGACATAAAACAAACATAAACATTATATTTCAACCTTGACATATTTTGCACTGCTACTGTTTTTGGACACATATTCCAAAGTGGGGTCAATTTAAATTCCCGGTAGAAGTCAACGTCAAAGAATTAAAACATTATACAACCGAAAAAACTTAGTATATTGTTTGTACAGAGGCAACAACATACTATTTTGATATTGTAAATCTTGTGAACCATATATGTCGGATTAACGTAATACATGAACTGTTTGTAGACATCCTAACTTTCTAAAATTGTAATCAATGAGTCAAGCAGGAGATACATAACAATCGAATGAGAATGTTTATTTGTTCATAGATTATATGAATTTGAACTTTGGAGATGTTTAAAATCATTCCTCGGTATTAACATACTGATAAAAGTAAACAACAAAATTAAGGATATCACATTGTTGAATTAAGAGATAGTATGTAAATGAGGAAAGCATCCCCTGCTATGACTTCATTACTCAGAATTGAAATAAACACTTTGCCGAAGATTTATAATCGTGAATAGGACAAAATCGAGTATTTAACAGATTAACTCATCTATCTATCCGAACTTCACTACAAACTGCTCAGAGTCTGAAAAGACTATATTTTGTGCTCGACCAGTAAGGTCGTGAACAGATTTTACTTGACAAGACTTGATATAATCTCGACAGTAATTAACTGTACTTAACTGTACTCGACTTTGGTCTTGACTTTACTTAATAAGTTTAATTGAGTACTTGATAATCTTGGTATAGTCTGAATATGGTCTCGACAAAATGCTCGACAGGTCTTGATCAGTCTCGGCCTGTCTCGACGCAGTCTTGAACTTTAAATTTAGTCTCGACTGGTCTGAGTCAACCCATCTAACTCAATTACATATTGATCTTACAAAATTTCAGGTTGTTTGGCAGGTTTTTGTTTTCCTGTCAAATTAAAGGATTTAATTAATTGGATCTGGAATATACTAAATTTGGCGTAAAGGAAGTCACAGAAGGAATATGAAAAAATAAACCACCACTAAACATGCTAAAAGCATAAAAGAAGCAAATTAACTCTTAACGGAGAAAGACTGGTTGCATCGATTAAGAAATCATCACAAGTCAAACTAATTCACACTCAGTCAAAATGTAATAATAGAAATTAGGACACAGACGTAAATATACAGATCGATTGACTCATCGTGTTTTTCATCCACAATATTTTGGTGACAGGAAAACATGTAAAATTTCATGTTTTGCTGTACCTCTTCATTACCGTGATCGAGTAATGTTGTCGTCCCAAGCACTGTCTGTAAATAATGTCATACAATATGAATATCCACGACCGAAAATAATAATGACAAATTTACATCTAAAGTTCTGTTTACGTATGTATTGAGTTCGGACGTTCACGGCAAAATTTATGATATATGAGGAACTTATTTGTACTTAAACTGTAGGAAGAATGAAAAAAATATAAAAATAAGGAGAAGTGGTATGATTGCTAATGAGACAACTATCCACCAAATTTCAAATGAAGTGGATGGAAAAAAAAAGAAAAAAAGAAGCAAATTAACTCTTAACGGAGAAAGACTGGTTGCAACGATTTAGAAAGCATCACAAGTCAAACTAATTCACAGCAAAATTTATGATATATGAGGAACTTATTTGTACTTAAACTGTAGGAAGAATGAAAATAATATAAAAATAAGGAGAAGTAGTATGATTGCTAATGAGACAACTATCCACCAAATTTCAAAGTGTTTGGAAAAAATTATATGTAACCGTATGGGCTGCAACAATGAAGCGTATTGTCGGTTTAAATTGCCTTAACATGAAAAATATGAAGCAAATTTTTTGCAAAAAAATAACGGCCTAATGTATAAGTTTATTTTAATACATAATGAAAAAGTTTTCATTTGAAATGAACTGGTCATTACGGTGCACGAACGAACATGAAAGTTGCAAATGTAATTGTTCAACAATAGATACAACTTTTGATGTCCCTTTTTCAGCTGAAGGACTTATTGTATTTTCCTCTTACCATAGTTGTTTTTTTCAAACGTGGTAATTACCTTAGAGCTTTGTGTCCATACGTATTCTTGTTTGTTTTATACTGAAACTGCTCACTGGATATATCGTGTAGATAATTCTAATTAATGTATAACGTTCATTAATAGATTAAGATTAATGAGTTGAAGCTTAATTCATCCCTTCGAAAGTATTGCCGACATCACGTGTTGGTTGACACATGATATATTCATGTACTAAATGACTACGGAAAAAATCATATATACATTACCATTTGCAGTTGACATGACTGCTTGATTTGGTGCATTCCACGAATCTCTTTCAAATAAGGACGTTGACTGTAGTTGGCCTATGTAAGATTATTTGATGAGATTCCACAAATAAGTTTGTATTTCCACATATGTTGATTTGTACTCACCATGATCAACATGATGAGTGTAACTAATTGATCAGGATCGTCTTCGCCGATGCACTGGAGGTCAATCCTAGGTTTTTATGTGGCTCATGTTGTTAAGTCTTTAGTTTAATATACATTGTTTTTGTACTTTGTGGTCTTTTTTTTTTGTTTGTGTGTGCGTTTTGTTTTGTTTTTTTTGGCATGGCGTTGTCGTCAGTTTATCATATTTTTTTTATTAAGTACACAGTCATCGTCAAAAAATCAAAGATGAATAATCGGTCGATACCGCAGCTGGTTGGCTATCAGTCCCGAAGGTAAAATTTCAGTTCAGTACATGCAGTAGTCAGTTGCTCTGTACTGGCATTATTAATAACATATTTTTTACCGTTGATGAATTGGGTAATTAACAAGAAACTAACGAATGAACTCCCTTATATGAATTCGGTCATCTTTAAGCATATAATGGTCCTATAGCTGCTCCTAATGTTTCAACGTATTACTACACACCAGAGCGTTCCTGATGACGATTACTCAGAGAAAAACGCGATGGAAGCTAAAGATGTATAAAGTTATGTTCAGTTGAATATTTTACAAATTCGGGTTGGTCGATAATTTGACAGAGGAGGATTAGTGGTCCCAATACTGTGCATTGTGGGACGCAACAGTTTATATAACTTTGATCTGAATGTTCACCTTCAACAGCAATAACTACCCGCAAAGATCGATCTTTCAAGCATTGAGCTATCCATATATTTAGAATCCAATCTATTGATAGCTTTTGAGTGTGTCTACTAGCATGTAGATCTCTGTTTAATTGACATCATCTTTTTTAAATATTAGGATTATATTCAATTTGGCAACCCAGATGTCTAGTCTGTTACATTATATATAAATTTATTGATAGGGTTACATATTAGAGTTGTGGTGATGATTTAATTTTAATTTGACAAATTGTAACCCTTTCACGCATTCATGTTTATTCCGATTGGACTTTGTACTTTTCCAATGTGTTCACTCTGACGATCTGTAGAACACTTAGTATTTTCAAAAGCGAACACAAAAACGCTGTGATGAGTTTTCTTTATACTTTACAATAGAAATTAAACCGATGATGTGACAAGTTCGTTTTCGAGAACGAAAAACGAAATTACCTATAAGACTTTTGATTCTTAAATAAGTTACAATTTTAAGTGAAATATATGAAGAACATTTACAATTTAAGTATGTAAACAAATCTTGAATGACACAATACGTGATTAAAACAGAAAACCGTTGGAGTGTAAACAACTGCAATAGCATGAATTCAAATGGAGCGAGACCAGATGCATCGACATAGAAAAGATATCCCGCTAAAAATTGAATACCCGTTAATTAATTTCGTTTTTCAAGGCTGTACACTTGAATAAGTTTGACCACAACATTTTACATTATCCATATTAAAAACGGAGAGGTTAGGAATCACTTATTCGTGTCCGATCAGAAAATAACATAATAAAAAGAGGCGAAAGATACCAAAGGTACTTTCCAGCTTAATAGTTGAAAATAAACTGACAGCGCCAGGGCAAAATACGAAAAAAAATGAACAAAAAACATAGAACAGTTTATAATCATTTCAATTGATGTGTTATTGATTTTGAAAATATTTGTACTTTTTCTACTTCTTTCGGCACAGTGTCGGACAATTAATAACAGTATTTTTTATAGTGTGCGTTGACATTACATCTCTAATTTGTTCATCATACTCCATGTACACAGATGTAGTTGAATCACCATATAACTAAGAAGTCCGCGTTATGCGGTGATGAGAATGTCCTGGACTTTAAATGAGGATAGATGCGTCTGTTTCACGTTAAACGTATTAATTTGACATTGAGATTACGGTAGTGATAAAAGTGTTGTGTATTTGCTTTCGGTTAAGTCAAGTGACTGTTATGAATAAATACACCACATACCTTCTTTTTTGAATTAATTAACGTATCTGTTGAATATATAGAATAACACTTTTTTAACAGTCGTATTTTTGAGATATCGATGATAAATTGGTGGAATTACTATTTCGAAATATAGAACTAAGGAGGGAAGATACACACAAACAACACAATTATATAAGACACTTTCATTATATATTATCATTCAAAATACACAAAGAATAACAAAGGATTCAGTCAATGAGTTTGCCAATTAACAAATTTTACTTTGTACTCTATCCTGAGTCTTTTATGCACTAAAGCAGTCTTTGGTAAACTTTTAGTAGTAAATGTATTGCATTAGATATTATTTCAGGATAATCACTTTCCAGTCAAATGCAGATATAAAAAAGGTTATACTATAGTGATATGAGGTTTGGTTGTTTAGTGTTTTACAACATAGTATGTTAACCTGTATTGATGACGATATTAATCTAAATTTATGCATCTTTTCCGAATCATTAAAATGATTTTAATCAACTCATTTGCTTCACATTGGATAGCTGAAAAACGTTTATTTTTTATTACATACTGTACATAACAGTTGTTTACATGTGCGCCCTTTTGTCTCTGGTGTATAGTTTACTATTGGTATCATACCATTTATCTATTTTTTGGTAAAGACGTTTTCATATGAAATAAATATATAGTCTAAATATGACATGTCTTAGATTATTCTTGACTAGTTTGCAAAGAATATTGAAAAAAGTAAAATCACAAAAATACTGAACTCCGAGGAAAATTCAATCGGAAAGTCCCTAATCACATGGCAAAATCAAATGACAAAACACATCAAACGAATGGACAACAACTGTCATATTCCTGACTTGGTACAGGCATTTTCAAATGTAGAAAATGGTGGATTGAACCTGGTTTTATAGCGCTAAACCTCTCACTTGTACGACAG